TCATACAATAAATGTTATGTATATTATGGAATCAAAAAAACAAAAGAGTACAAAGTTTTAATGAAATATATAAATAGGGGTTGAATTTCTTCCAAGATTAAATTTAAACTTAAAAAAAGAATTGAAAGTTAGTCCAGTACAAATCTCATTTCAATGATTTAAAATATTTATTTTGTAGAACTTTTTGTATGTATATTATTCATAAAAATAATAATAAAAAAAAATTAGCCTGATCAAATAATTGTTATCTTTTTATTTTATTGCATTTGTCTCAAAAAAATAAACGAAGAGTATGTTTTTAAAAACAAATTATTTATTTTTTCAAACACAAAGGTAATAAAATTAATTACAAGATTATGATTATGAGATTTATTTTATTTTTTTTAATAATAATCTATAATAAGAGATCTACAAAATAAATAATCAAAATCAGACAATTCGAGAAGGTTCTCAAATTCTCTCAAATTCTTAATATGACTCCTTCAAGCGTCTTTAAAAAAACAACGTAACTGACGGTCCATTCAGAGTATACTTCGGGGCATCCATTTGCACCTCCCTCCTTTACCATCTATCTACATATTGGCCTCATTTGGGAAGTGGTTATTTTAGTAAGTTATTTAGTTTTTTGGCTATTTTAGTGACTATTTTAGTTTTTGTGTTTGGAAAGATGAGATGATTTTTTAGTTGAGTTATTGTATTGAAAAGTGTGTTGAAATGATGTTTAAATTTAAAATGACAGATTTATCCCTAACTTTTTATTTTTTAAAATTGATATAAAGGGGCAAAATGGTAATTTCACCCTTGGGGCAACACTGTCCGGCTGTGACAGTGTAGGCTGTGCCTACATTGTCCGGCAGCTATATATATATATATAAGGGAGCTATAGTGACTCCCTACAAATAGGGAGTCACTGTAGTAAAACTTAATTTAAGGAATTATTTAAGAGAGTTGATGCAAGTGTATAGGGAGTCATTTACCCCTTAAATAGGTAAGGAGTAGGTTTAAGGGAGCTAGTGGGATGCTCTAAGAGTTGCATGTCATTCTGTTATTATTATTATGTTTTGATAAGATATTAAGATGTTAATATGTTAAATTACATTAAAGAAATTATAATTTTTCATCGATTTGAAATCTAAACCTCTAATATTCTTAGTTGCATGAATTATTAGACCAACTGTTTTGTCTCCCAATTAAAAATCATAGGCTAAAGTTGCATCAATCAATGGCAAAAAATAAAAAATAAAAAACAATAAAAAGGTTAATTAGAGCAACAATGATTCATCCCCCTTTTCCTCCCACCCCCTTTGACCCCCTCTCTCTCATTGGTTATTTTTTCTTTTTCTTTTTTTTCTTGCTCCTCTAATCACCACTCACCACATGACAAAGGGGATGAGGGTGACCCCCAAAAGAAGATCCCACACATTATTCTAATTAGAGTTTCTTTATCTCTCTTTATTTCTCTTCTGGTATCGTTATCATCACCCTGCACACTTTTTCTTTAGGCCCTTTAGAGGCGGACCGTAACCTCGTCCGCCAATGGAGACCGTAATTACCATGTCTAAAATATTATTACTTGTTGCGGACCTTACGGCGGCTCTGACGTAACCATTCATCAACAAATTGTGGAAACATAAAATATAATGATAACCCCTTAGACATTTACAAGTTGACCTCATCACTCCAAATTCCAATAGATATTTCACTCCCTTCATTCTTCAATATTGTCAGTCATTTTCAGAGTTATTTTAGTGTAATTTATCTTAATTTTTTTATATGTTTTAAACTTTTTTGTGCAGTTTTTATTTATAATTTCTTAAATACAAATAAATTAAATAAGTTACTTTTTAAAACGGGGTGAATTGTGCTTTTGATTTATGTTTTTAAATTATTAACTTTTAATTTATAATAAATTACATCTGATAGCACTTTTATTGTCTAATGCTCCCTAATTTGAATACTCATTATTACTTCTTAATTTAGAAATAGTTAATGTTATTTTTATTATTATTAAATAATAATAAATACTTTTTTTTTCTGCCTATTGATATAAAATAATAGTAAATATAGAGATATTATTTAGTAATTTTAGAGTAATACTCACACCATTTATCACTTGACACCTGTCAAGTTATTTACCAAAAATTTAACAAAAAATAATAAATTTCAAAATTTTAATAAATAAATATCAAGTTAGGTACCACTTGAATTTACCCAATATTATAAAATAATTTTTCATAAAAATACGTGCATGAAACCATCCTCTACAGTATTTGTTTTTGAACATAAAGTACAATTCGTTTTGTGTATAGAGAATTATGCGTTCTTGTTTCTCAATTTTTTTAAAGATAATTACATTATCATTTCCGCATCTATTAAATAATATTTTACCATCCATCTATGAATATTTTGATTCTTTCCATTATGAAAATATAAAAAATGTTTAGGAGTACTAATTTAGAACCGCCAACTCTCCCCTAATGATATAAAATGCATCATGTAAGGAAGTGGGTCCACACTCCTCACTTTGTCTCTCTCTATTCTCTCTAGGGGTGTGCACGGTGCGGGTCGATGCGGTTTGAGAGAAAAATAGAAACCGTATGGCGGGTGGCAGATTGATAAAAGTGTCACTAGAATTTGCCATTTTCCTTATCAAAAATCGACGGTTCGGTTGGCAAATAATGGCGGATTTGCCTTGGCGGTTCGGGCGGATTGGCGGTTTATAAAAAATATAATTCAAATTACAAAACTTAAATCAAAGAATAAAAAAAAGACGAGAGATACTGTGATGTTAAGCATCTTGCGAAGCTTTCTTCTGATGCAGCAAGTGTAGCAACAACATGATAATATCAACGACCATGCCATTAGTTCATTACAAGCATCTGTGGAAGCTACAATGATCAAATACAATACATAAAATTAATATCATTCAGGGTTTACAATATATTGAAAATGTTTACTGTTGAAAAGTATTTAGATTGAAAAGTGAGCTGATGCAAGTTTGCAACATGGCCAGAAAAAAAAAAAAAAGATTGAAAAGTGAATTGGAATCCAATTTTATTTTGGATTACTGACATCTTGAATTCCCCTCGAGCAGTAATGTAATATTATATTCTAAGGTATGGAACAACAAGCAAACTTAAGTAAAAAAGAATTTTTAGACTCTTATAAAACATAATTTAATAGCGGTGCGGGTCGGTGCGGTTTGGAAGAAAAATAGAAACCGGCGGATTGATAAAAGTGTCACTAGAATTTGCCATTTTTCTTACCAAAATCGGCGGTTCGATTGGCAAATAATAACAAATTTGTCTTGGCGGTGCGGTTCAGTGCGGTTTTGGCGGTTTTGACGGTTTCGGTGATATTATGCACACCCCTAATTCTCTCCCTCTTCGATCTCATTAAGGATAGATTAAAGATGCTATATTAATGACATATAACATGAATGCAAAAATATATCACTTTCACTTTACTTAGATCTTCTATATAAGAAATATTTGTATGATTTTTATAATTAAAAAAAAATAAAAATAAATAAAAGTTCATTAATACAAAATAAGATGATATTTACTAATCAGCAATGTTAGGTATCATGAAAAATCTTTCATGAAATAATCATGAAAGTTTTATGACCTTTGCATTACACTTAGAATAAAACACCACACACTAATCAAGGTAATCCAAAGATCATAATTCTTTCATGATCATTTTCATAATCCCTAACTTTTCTCTTTACTAATAGTGGTAAGTTTTTCGGTGTAATAATTCTATCCTTTCTCACGGTTACTAAAGTTACAGAACTAACTCTTCACATATCAATTTTCAAAGTAACTAGGAAATTGAACTTCCATTCCTTAATACAGAAAATATTATCGAAAAAAAAAAGTTAAATTACAAATACCTCTCTGAGATTTGTTTAAAGTATAAATTGTTTCGTGTAGTTTAAAAAATTACAAATACCGCCTTATTAAAAAATTTTATTTATCGGAATTAATTAAAAAAATAAAATTGATAATTGATCTTCTATACAATAATAAAATTATCTAAATTATTCATTAAAATATATGTCTAATATCATTAGAAAGTGTTAATTGACTTGATAATTTATTAATAAAATAGTGATTTGTTATGCAATTAGAAACCTTAGAGAGTAGAATGTAATTTACAGAATCACAGAAGATGATTCGTATTTCAATTAAATCTCAAGAAGCGTATTTATAATTTTTCCAAAAAGCAAAAAGAAGAAGAAAGTAATCTTTTAAATTAAAGCACAGATAATTGCAAGAAATTGTAAAACTGAATCATAAGCTAGCTCTACTGAATTTAACCTGTAATAACAAATAAAAAATAAAAAATTCAACGTTAGAGTATTTGTCAATCCACACTAAAAAAATTAGGGGAACTACGAAGATATATTTTTAAAAATATATTTTTTAGGGTGAATATTTAGGATAAATTACACAAGACCCAATAATAAATGAAAAAATATTTTTAAATAGAATCCGACCACACGCGAGAAAGCATATTGAAGATATAATTTAAATACTAAGTTTATTCATATTTCTCTAACAATTTAAATTTATACGTGTGTGGTATAACTTTTAGATGTGTTGGTAATAATGATATACATATATAGATTTTTTTTTTCTTTCTTCTTTTTAACAATATTTTTTTAATTTATTATTAAAACTAAAGATAGTAAAAGAGTAGTGCTAGTCTAACTTCAAAGTTAATTTTATTTTTCAAACTAAATAATGCCATAATCTATCAGAATATTTAAATCAATTCTTTCTCTTATTATTATTATTTTTTCCGATAATAAACTAATCATCGCTTTCACATATGATTCAACCTTAAAAATGAATTCAAAACGTAAACCCGACTTCAATACCATTTTCCTACTAATTTTCTTGCCGTTATAGTTGAAAACCATATCAATAGTTAATGATTTCCCCATGAAAACCGTAGAATCAAAATTTCGAGCCCTATAAATACAGCCTTGTGGAATGTCCAAAAACCATCCACTCCATCCATCCATCTCTCTCTCTCTCTCAAAAGAGAAATGACAGAAAGAAAAGAGAACATAGTGATGTTCCCATTCATGGCACAAGGCCATATCATTCCTTTCTTAGCATTAGCACTTGAGTTAGAAAAGAAAAATGGATACACCATAATCTTTGTGAACACTCGTCTCAACATCAAGAAACTCCGACCTTCGATCCCTCCAAACTCATCCATTCGCCTCCTCGAAATCCCATTCAACAGCTCCGACCATGGCCTCCCTCCGGACTCCGAAAACACCGACTCTCTCCCTCTCCCTCTCCTCCTCCATCTCATCGTCATCTCTCCCGCTCTCGAGCCCGCCTTCCGAGACCTCATCTCCGGCCTTGTCCTCGAACATGGCCGCCCACCACTTTGCATTATTTCCGACATGTTCTTCGGATGGTCTGCCAAAGTTGCTCATGAATTCGGTGCATTTCATGCTATATTCAATGCTGGTGGGGGCTATGGCATGGCTGCTTTTCACTCTTTATGGCTACACCTTCCTTACATGAAAGTGAATTCTGAGGAGTTTCCTATGCCGGGCTTCCCTAAAGGTCACCGGATTCACACCAAACAGTTACCAGAACATTTTCAAGTAGCGGTGCCCGGCGATTCGTGGTGCTCATTTTCACAAGACATGTTTCGAGATTGGTTGGAGAGTGATGGGATTTTGTTCAACACCATAGAGGAGATTGACCATGTGGGGATGGAGTATTTTAGGCAGCAAATTGGCTGTTCCGTGTGGCCAGTTGGGCCTATTCTGTCTTCCTTGGGAAGCAAAGCTCGTGCTGGTGATGACGCTGAAGCCACAATGCATCTTTGCATGAAATGGCTTGATTCGAAGCCTACAAATTCAGTTCTTTATGTAGCGTTTGGGTCACAAAGTGCACCATCACCATCACAAACAATCCAGTTGGCCATGGCTTTGGAAGCTTGTGGCAAAAATTTCATTTGGGTGGTTAGGCCACCATCGAACTCAGTCACAGATCATGACCATAATGAAGGAGAATGGTTGCCGAGAGGCTTTGAGAGGCGTATTCAAGATAGCAACAAAGGGTTGCTAGTGCAACAATGGGCACCCCAGTTGGAAATTCTGTCCCACAAATCTCTATGTGTGTTTTTAACCCACTGTGGATGGAACTCAGTGCTTGAAGCTCTCAGAAGTGGAGTCCCAATGCTTTCGTGGCCGATGGGGGCAGAGCAAAACTTCAACGCCAAGATGTTGGAGGAAGAGATGGGACTTTGTGTTGGGGTGGCAAGTGGGAGCAGTGAGGTTAATCATAAAGACATAGTGAAAAAGATTGATTTGGTGATGGGTGGGTCAACCAAAGCGAAAGACATGAAAAACAAAGCTTGTGAGGTTATGGAGATGCTTAACAATGCCAAAAACGATGAGAAAGGGTTCAAGGGTTCTTCAGCCAAAGCCATGGAGGATTTTCTGTATGCTGCATTGTCAAAGTCTTGTAATTATTAAACCAGCCTCGCAGATCCGAGCCAAATGATCTAAGGGGAGGCTGTTTTCAATGTTTTTACTTATACAGTATTCCAATACATGTGTGTCTGTTTTCTAGTTTCAGTTTAATTGGATTAGAAGGTCAATGCCTTGATTCCAGTTAAACAAAACAGAAATTAATAACTATCTATTTTACTTTTGATTTTTGTATTTATTTTTCATTTTCTAATAGAATAATATGCCCTTTCTCGCCAATCTTGGTTCTTGTTTTCTAGTTCATTGGAAAAATGTTTTAGCATACATCTTTCATTGCCTCAACTTTACTAAATTATCTACTATATATGTACAGATATATGTATATTGAAGCTCATGTAATTGCTGTCTTCTGTATTTATTTTTTTGATATAAAACTTATGACTTATTTATATAATATATATATATATATATATATATAATATAAAAGAAAAAAAATTGCTGAAATAAAAAAAAAAAACTCTAAAAAATTAAAAATGTGTTAATCAAATTAAATTTGCCTATGACACACACCACATTAAATAAGTGTACTTTTTGACTTTTTTTGTATTATGTGTAGAAAAAGTAGAGAGGAGATGTTGATTGATGTGACCCAAAAAAGATAAAAAGATGAAATAAGTGCATTTTTTTAGGTTAGCCAAACTTGACCTAAATTTGAATCTATATATAATACTTCTTATTTTTCAGGATAAATTACAAATATACCCCATTGAGGTTTACTTAAAATATAAATTGTCCTTTGTAATTTAAAAAATTACAAATATCTCCCTGTCAGTTTTTTTTTTATTTAACAGAATTAATTGAAAAAGTAAAATTTCTAACTGTTCACCTATACAATAATAAAATTATCTAAATTATTAATTGAAATAAATTTTAACATTATTAAAACTGTTAATTAACTTGATGATTTATTAATAAAAAGACCTATTTGTTATGAAATTAGAAACCTTAATTAGGGGGCATAATGTAATTTCTAGAACCACAGAGGTAATTTGTAATTTAAGTAAATCTTAGGAGGTGTGTTTGTAATTTACCTTATTTTTTAAGTACTTTGTTTAGAGTTTTTTATTTGAAGAGTAATGTTACACAAATTAATAAAATTTTATAAATTTTTCTTAGGGTTCGTTTAGGATGTGAGTTAATTTTTTGGTTATTTTATCCTAAGACTAAAAAGTTTTATTTGGGATAGATTTTTTTGCCTTTTTTAACTTTTGTGAGAGAAAAAATGAAATGATTATGATTTAGATGTGATGCTTTGTTTTATTGACTTTTTAGTTTATTTTGTCTTTTTATAATTAAAATAGTTAAAAGCCAAGCTTTTTGGCATGCTAAAATAAAGGCTTAATTGCTGATATATAACTATCATTTAGGAATGGTTTGAAATATTCTAAATAAGTGCACATTTTGATTTTTGATATTAAAAAAAAACTGTAAACAAATAAAGAGAGAATATTGATAGATGTTGATTGAGATGTGATCTAAATAAATATATATATACATGCAATATATATATATATATATATACTTTTTAATACGTGCCAAACATGTAGTTATTAACGTGGACGAGCTAATATATATATTTTTTAATTTATTAATTTGTATAAAATTTTCTTTTTCGAGAAACCAACTTATATTGTAGTTAAATTCACATGATTTGAATTTTCGCCTATCATCTACATGCATGTGTTAGAGCATCTCCAACCGTGAATCAAAAATTTCACCAATTCTGAGTTCAAAAATGGCCATTTTCTGAATTTGATACTTCAGGCTCCAACGGTTCACCTTCACCAAATCTATCCCGGGACAACCGGGTGGTCGACCGGCAAAATTATTTGATATATTTTTTACTAGCTTTTCAAATATTTGTTTTCAAGTATGATGAATATGAAATTTGTTGATGATGTAAAAACTTTATCAAATTTTACTTTCAAATGTTTTCATTCTTGATTTATCTATTTAATTTTGTTTTTCTGCTAACTTTATGCATAATCAATATGTTGTATGAATCTGTAAAATTGGACACCGTTATTGTCCCAATTGGGCTGTTACCAGTTGCGACCCACACAATGCTCTACTAATTTTTAGCCTCCACATGTTTCAAACCAGATTTTATTTGCTTGAACATTAAAATTTTAAAAATTATAGGGCAAATAAAATAATTCTGCATACAGTAATTCTGCAGCCTACTTGACATTTTAATAGAGCAGATGAATATTAATTAATATAATGAATTATAACTTCATTATTATTCCAGCTCATTGAGTCAACTGACTGATTATGAAGTGAAAATATATTATGAAGTGAAAATTTTAATAATGCACACAAGATTAATTTTAATAATGTGGAAGATTTACATTGAAGATTCTTTTTGTTTGGGTTTAATCAATTTTCATGTGGTTTATGTACTTACATGGTTCAACATGACTCAAGTTTCTATTATTACAGCAGCCTTCAATTTTGTTAAATAGTGACTGGTATCTTAATAGGAAAATGGCACACTGGAGGAATATAAATTAGCTCCTGAAGGTGTTAGTCAAGCACTTTTGGCAGGAGAATTATTCCAAAAGGTAGGTGTTCCTACAAATACTTGTTGTGGTTCTCCAGGGCCAACACGGCTTTCTCAATTTAACATTGCTGAAAAGTGATCTAGAATGTATAGCTGATGTAAGAGTAGCTCCAATCCTTCACCAAATCTTGTATGAAATTTAAAAGTGGCATGAAATTATCATTCATATTCGCACACTACCACTTGAATTTCCTAATGATACCGAAGAAATGTCTCTCATTCTTTTTCTTATTAGTTTTTTATAAACTGTCACTGACAAAAGTTTTTTATCAAAAAAAATATGCCACTTAGTTAAATTCACTTTGGTAAAAAAAAAAAAAAAAACTAAAAATTCAAAACGGAAACACATTTTTTGAGTTTATTTTTTTTGGCCAAATTTATAAACTGAGACCACTGATTTATAAATCAAAAATTTATAAAACAAGTTTTTATTTGAGTTTTTAAAATTTTTGTAAATATAAACTAAAAATTGAAAACGTAAGTGTTACCAAACGGCACCTAAGAGTTTTAAAAATTAAATTTTTTAGTTTTTAAATATGAAAATTTTGTTACAAATGACATTTAGGGACCAATTTTTATCGTTATATAAGAATAGTCGTTAAAATGTTATCCCGAAAAGTCAAAAATAAGACTTTTAGTGATAAAATTTTGAAAATGTCATTAATAAATAGATTTTTAAGAACAAAACAATTTTTTTGGGATGTTCTAAATAAGTGCACTTTTTGACTTTTTATAAAAAAATGTGTAAAAAAGTAGAGAGGAGATGTTGATTGATGTGACCAAAAAAAGATAAAAAGATAAAAAGATGGACTAAAATAGGTTATGCCAAACCACCCCTTGAGTCTCAAAATGGTTTATTTTTTGAGATAAAAAATTTAATACCAAAAGGATAATAATTTATCATTAATTTTCAATTTTTGATACTAAAACTATAGTAACAATACTTTTTACAACAAAATATTTGGTCCCTAAGAAATAATTTTGTTCCTAAATTTTAATCTCTAAAATCTTAATTTTTTATACTGATTATATATATATATATATATAACTATATACTAGTGTATGTCCATGTCTAAAGGCATGGTATAAATAATATTAGGATCAAAAAGTAATTGTAATTTATATGTATTATGTTGAAATTTGTGAAGTTTGTGTCATTTTTTAATAAAGATACCATCTGAGAAAAAGAAAAAGGCCAACCCAATGTTTACAATAGATGTATTTTAACAATCATATTAAAATGGTAAAATTAAATATTAAAATCAGCCCTAGCAACATGAAGATTATTAAAATTGGAGACAATAATTATCTAAATTTAAACTCTTCTCTTTCTCAACTAACTTCAATTTTATAGAGATAAAATTAAAACCAAAATCAAAACTTGTTATAATCATAAGTATTTTGAAATTCACAATTTATCACTTGGGAAGTAAAAAAAAAAAAAAAAAATCATCAGACAACAAAGCCATTTTATAAACAATAATGAATATTTATTTCACTAACCCATTGATTATGGCTTTAGTTAATGAAATTCTTATATTTCATGTAACGCCCCGAAATAAATACAACAACCCACCCACAAATATTAATTAAAATATGACATAAGATGAGATAAGCAACTTCCATTAATTCTAATTTCTTATACAAAAGAGCAACGGATGCAAATATACATTCATAAGTTGAATCCTAAATCTATAGCATGTGCTACATGGTAAGGAAACAAAATAAAAGATAAACAAGTAAGAGAATGCCCTAAAAGCTTACAACTTTCCATGTTGGTACTTGGTTACAACAAAATGGATTAAAATTCCAATACATACAAAAACCTATGTCTTGTACAAAACAATTACACACTTAAACAAAATGAAACTCTTGCTCCAAGTCCTTCCAAACTATTGCCTTGGTGGAGGCATATTATCAGCACCTGAAATGTTTTGTTTTGTTTTTTTTTTTTTGTTTTTTGTTTTTTTTTTCCATATAGGGTGAGCCAAAGCCCAGTAAAAAATAATCCAACACAGCAGATGAAGCATAACAAAGTTATAAGGGTAGGATGCATATGCAATTCTCATGACAAAACATTTTATATCGTTTTCAAATCATGCCATGCCATGTCGGGTTTATGTTACTATTCGTGAAACATTTTCCTTTTTATAAAAAAAACTAGACTGTGAATACAATTCTGTGAATCTCTAGGTATGTGTTTGCTAGTAGGCTATACAACTACTCTTTTGTCATTTTTGCTGGTATTAACCAAAAGGCTCGACATTTATTCACGTGGAGTTCTAGTCTTTCACCAAAGACACACATGCCTACTTATCATAGTAACCACACCCCCTACCCAGATTCACCAAGTATCCACCATTTCACAAAACAACATATATATTTCAACTGTGTAAACATATGACAATGTTCGATGCGGATAAATGAGAAATAGTTTTTTATTCTCCTAATTCCCATGCAATTTCTACAACAATCATAGTTATCTTTTTTGTTTTTTTGTTTTTTTTCCATATAGGGTGAGCCAAAGCCCAGTAAAAAATAATCTAACATAGCAGATGAAGCATAACAAAGTTATAAGGGTAGGATGCAAATGCAATTCTCATGACAAAAC